ATACTAGCAATCAACAAGTGGAATTTGAAATGAAAAACACACATTCACATTAGCACCTTAAAAATAAAATACTTAGGTATAAGTCTAACAATATATGTATAAGGTCTATATGAAAATTTTACAAAATTCTGATGAATAAAATCAAGTAATGAAAAAAAATGGAAGGATAATCCATGTTCATGAATAGGAAGACTCAATATTGTTAAGATGCCAGTTCTTTCCAACTTGTTCTATAGATTTAAGGCAATGCAAATCAAAACCTTACTAAGTTTACGGATATTGACAAACTGATTCTATACTCTATGCACTAGGTGGGGCAAATGTAGATTTACAGTTGTTCTTATGGAAAATAATATAGTTAACAAAAAATAATACAAGAATAAACTCTGTGTTTTGTGCAGTCAGAATCAGAAAGTTATGTTTGCCCCACTTTGTAAAGAGAGAAAATAGGAGCCAACACAATGTTGAAGGAGAAGAACAAAGTCAGAGAACTGACACTGCTTAACATCAAGACTTATTATAAAACTGCAGTAATTAAGACAGTGTGGTATTGGTGAAAGAATAAACAAATAGATTAATGGAACAGAACAGAGAACCCAGGAATAGATATGTATAGATATAGTCAACCGATCTTTAACAAAGGAGCAAAGGCAGTACAATGGAGAAAAGATAGCATATTTAACAAATGTTGCTAGAACAATTAGAGTTCACATGCAAAAAAAAATGCATCTAGACACAGGCATTACACACGTCACAAAAATTAACTCAAAATGTATTACAGACTTAAATGTCAAACGCAAAAGTATAAGACTCCTAGAAGATAACATAGCAACAATCTAGATGAGCTTGGGCTTACAATGACTTTTTAGATATGACTCTAAAATCAAAATCTATTAGAGAAATAGTTGATAAAAAAACTGGTAGATTAGTGATACTCTCAAGAGAATGAGAATACAACTAACAGATTGGTAGAAATTATTTATAAAAACATATCTGAGAAAGAACTTGTGTCCAAAATATATAAAGAATTCTTAAAATTCAACAAGAAGAAAACAAACAACCTGGTTAAAAAATAGGCAAAAGACCTAGACAGGTACCTTACCAAAGAAGGTATAATGAGCATATATGAAAATATGCTCATCTGTCATTAAAGAATTGAAAATTAAAACAATAAAGAGATATCATTGGTAGGTACATTTTAGAATGATCAATATCCCAAACGCCAACACCACAAAATACCGGTGAGGATGTGGAACACCAGGAACTCTCACTCATTGCTGGTGTGAATGCAAAAGGGTACAGACACTTTAGAAGTCAGTTTAGCAGTTATTTAAAACCAAACATTTACCAAATGCTCCAGTGATCATACTCCTTGGTATTTATCCAAACAAGTTGAAAACTAATATCCACACAAAAACCTACATATGAATATTTATGGAAGCTTTATTAATAATTACCAAACTTGGAAACAACCAAATTGTTCTTTAATAGGTGAATGGGTAAATTAATAGTGGTACATCCAGACATCGTAATATTATTCAGTGCTAAAAAAGAAGTCAGCAACAAACCATGAAAAAGACATTGTGGAATTTTGATGTTGGGGGAGCTGTTCATATCCAGAAGCAGATATAATATATAAAATCTCTGTACTTTCTGCTCAAATCTGTTGTGAACCTAAGCTTGTTCTAAAAAATAAAGTTTATTTAGAAAAACAAAGGAACTGAAATGATACACTAGGAAATATCTATTTAACATAAAAGAAGGCAATAATAGAGGGAGGGAGAGCACAAAAGGCCTAAGACATATGAAAAACAAATAGCAAAATGGGAAAATTAAATCCTTTATTATCAGTATTTGCATTAACTATAAATGAACTGAACACTAATTAAAAGGCAAAGATTGACAGAATGGGCTTAAAAACATCATCGAACTCTATGCTATCTATAACAGATATATTTTAGATTCAAAGGCACAAATCCTTTGAAAGTAAAAGGATAGAAATGAAGCCAAGCACACAATAACCCAGAGACAACTGGAGTGACTACACTAATGTCAGAGAAAATAGCCTTTAAAATAAGAATTTTTACTAGAAACAAAGAAGAGTATTATATAATGATTAAAGGGTCACTCCACTAGAACAGATAACAGTTATAAACACACTTACGCCTCATATCAAAGCCCCAAAATATATCAAGCTAGAGCTGCAAAATTGAAGAGGAAAGTAGACAATTCAGTGATAATAGTTTGAAACTTTAATACTCCACTTTCTATAATGGGTGGAGCTAGCAAGAAAATCCACAAGGAAGCAGAAGACTTTACGATACTATTAACCAACAGACATCTGTAGAACACTCCACCTAAAAACAAAATACACAATCTTCATAAGTACCTGTGGAATATTCTTCAGGATAAGTTATATGTTAGGCCATAAAACAAATCTTGATAAATTTAAAAGAATTAAAATTATACAAAGTATGTCTTCTGCCGACAATAGAATGAAATTAGAAATTAGTAACTAACATATTTTGGGGAAATTCCCAGTAGAAAAAAGAATGTTTAAAAATATATTGAGCTTTTTGAGTTTAAAATCTAAGTGGAAGTTAAAATTGAAAGGTTTGAATAGAGCATAAATAAAGAGATTTCTCTGTTGAAATTTATAAAAAAAAATTAACGGCTTTGATTTTTATCTTACTCCCAAGTATTGATATAGACAAATTACTTCCAGATCTGGGATTCCTTTTATCGTGACCTAGAAGGAGTTTCTTTGTTTGTTTGTTTGTTTGTTTTTGAAATAAACTATTCCCTAATCTTCACCACTTTACCCCTTCATTTTAATACTGATCCTTACAGAAAAATTAGTTGTATATACATTTTTCAAACCATTGTTCTATTGATGCAAGATGATTATGTCTGTGGAAAGCTCAAGTGAATATTCTAAGTAGCAACATCCTAAGGTAAACTACTGGTCAAAAGCTAAGTTTTTTAACTGCTTTAATAAGAAATGTTCCTTCTGCCAGAAGATTCTAATTATTTTGACTTACTAAATATTTATATTATACATCTTCTAACTACCGTGGGTATTATAGTAATAGTTGAGATTCAGATTCAGTCCTCAGCAACCCTGTGATCTATTAAGCAGGTGGTGCTCATAAGACAAGCACACAAATAACTTCCATAACATGCAAAATGTAGTAAATGCAATGATTAAGGCATGAAAGCCTATAGTGATTCAAAACGTGATACATCCACTTAGAATACTTAGGGAAAGCTTCTTCTAAAGCAGAGGTTCTCAACCTTGGCTGCTCATTAGTAACACTCTGAGGGCTTCAGAAAATCTTGATGACCAGACTTTATCCCAGATCAAATAAATCAGAATATCTCAAGCAAGTGGCCTAAGCATCAACATTTTTTAAGTTCCCTCGGTGATTCCAATGTGCAGCCAAGTTTGAGAATCACTGAAATAAAGAATGGGGTGAGAAAGGAGTAATTAGAATTAAATAATGAGAAAGACTGCCATTGAAAGTGGTGGAACGCTGCAGCACTTGGAAGAACCCTCTTCTCACAGAGGTGCCTTATTTTTGTTCTCTGGACTTCAGCAAAAGTACAACATCTGTTAAAAACCTTTGCCTGGCTCAGCTGATTGTAACAACAACGTTAATAATAGTAGTAAAAGCTGGTACATTTTTATAGTCCTTGCAAATGATAAGTGCCATTCTAAGCACTTTAAATATATTTCAATATTTTATCCTCCCAACAACGCTAGGATAGAAATAGAATTATTATTCTCATTTTACAAGAGAGGAAGATAAATAACTTGACAAAGTTACACAACCAAAAGTGGCAGAGCTGGTATTCAAATATCGTATAATGACTCAGAAATCTATGTTTTAAAACATAACTAACTGAAGTTAGATGTTCCTTATCAAGACTCTTATAGAACCCATGCATACTTCAATCATAGCATGAATCACATTATATTATAAATGTTTATTAGATTTTTCTTTTTCACTAATCATTCCATTAATAATTGTTCAATAAACAATTATTGAGCATATTCTCTATGCCAGAAAATGTGCCTGTTATTAGAAATACAAAATCCCTTATGTTATATTTTTATCTGTGAAAGTATTTTAGTTTAGAACAGAGGTCAGTGAACTAAAATTCACAGGCCAAATTCTGCCAGCCACCTATTTTTATAAATACATTTTTATTAAACCATGCTCATTGGTGTATTACCTAGTTTTTTGTTTTGTTTTGTTTTGTTTTGTTTTATGTTATAACATCAGAATGGAGTAGTTGTGATGGTGATGATCTGGCAGTAAAATCTTAAATTTACTATCTGGTCCTTTATAGAAAAGGTATGCCAACCTCTAGTCTAGAGAATAATACAAATAAGAAAATCTTCAATGATTAAAATCAGGTGCATGGTATGGTGCCCGATATAGTACAGGAATATAAAGGAGAGATATCTACATTAGGTTAGAGGGTCAGCAAAAGTTTTCCAGAAGACATGATATTTGGTCTAATTTTGTAAGGCTGAGTACAATTACCTAGACAAAGATAAGCAGCCAGACTTGTCAGTAAGTTCAGGCAGGGAAGTTTAGTGGTGATCCAGAAAGCTAGAACGTGGCAATTGGAATAAAGGGGGTTGATGTGTTTAATATATATTAATTAGTGCTACATAATTTATGAAAATATATCTTTGATGACTTTATTTTTACTATGTCACATAGCTAGTGGTGCTTATAGTTGAAATTCACTAAATATTTATTAACAGAAAATATTAAGTCCTAAGCAAGGGATGTTTATTTTAAAAGGCAAGAAAATATTTACCTTCTATTTGTTCTTTAAACCATTGAATGATAAGAATTATGAGTATTTCATCCACTGTCCTAGAGTGAAAAAAACTAACACTTTTTCATTGTTTTCTATTGTATAGATGAATATATACCTATTAACAATGCAGTTTTACAAATGAGAAATGGTTGCATATACTCTACCTGGAAAATTCATAGGCAGTTCAAATGGTTGTGAAGATTCACGACCTTCAATTTGCTCACAAATTTCAGCTATGATCTTTTTAATTTTAAGACCAGTAATTTTAATCACTTCTCCTGTTGACAAACAGCATTCATTTCCAAACATTTCATAAATAGAACCTGAAAAAAGAAGAGTAAAAACAGCTCTTAAAGATGAATTAAATCATGAAGAAAAAGGTAGGAGTCAAAAGCCTTATATTAAATGTTTTTATTCAGTTCCTCTCTTAGCTACCTACTAAAAAGGAATTTAATCAAGCTTGGCAAAATGTACAGCATGTTCTGAGAAAAATATTAGATTTTTACTTTGTCCACTGGGCAAGGTAAAAACAATCTTATTTTCGTTATTATTGCAAATTGAATTTATGGTTTCCTCAGAACCTTTAGTTCGTCTTTCCAAGGTCAAACTACAAACATGTCTTTCCCTATTGGGATTTATGATCTATTTTTGCAGGGTCACAGAATTAAGCTCATATAGGTAAACAATATTCTAAGTAAATATTGCAAACAAAGTTGTAATACTATCCAAGATCCAAAGACAGAGGGTCTGCGCAACCGGGCCTTTTATCAAGAGCATCATATCTATTTTTTGACCTAGTTCTCTTCATCATTGTAAATAGAAGACTTCTGTCCATTTTATCACTTGATTTTTGACATGTTTGAAACAATATTTATATGGCAATAGGGGGCAGATCAGTCTAGATAAACTGAAAAGCTTCATTTTAGTTCAGGATTTCAGTCTCTTTCCTTATTTTATCATAGATGCTAGAGCTAACCTTTTCACTCATTTATTTTCTTTTCACATTTCCTGATGGAAGAAGAGCAAGCAGTGAAATGACAAGAAGATGAGCAACAGGAAAAAGAAGAGGCAAAAATTCTCGATGATCTACCCCTAGTAAAAATGGAACAACCCAAAACTACATCTCTGGGATATCATTGATTTACAATTAAATAGTGAACAAACTAAAGTTTGATGCAAATGAACATTACAAAACTGTAGAGTTTAAAACATATCAATTTTTCCTTACCTCCACTATGATTTATATCACCTTCATCACACTAAAATGTGAACAACACAAACTCAAGAGTCTAGGTTTGTTTTTGTTTTCTGAATTTTTCTCTATTGGACTCACTAGAGGAAGATTCTCTTCCTAGAATCTTGCCTGAGATATAACAGACACCTAAAGTATTTTTATAACATTAACAGTTACCATAAAAGTTATTAAGACTGACATACAATATAGCTTTAAATAACTTTTCAATTGTATTAGAATCTCAATAGAGATAGGGGCACACTCAGATTAAAATAATTTGAGAAGGTTTTAACAAAGGAGCAATTTACACAGATGCACATCCATTCTAGGCAACTCAAGAAAATAAAAATCTTGATCTCTCTGTTTTCCCTCCATTTTATCCTCTGCCAGGCACCTCACTGGCCAGAATCAGCCAGAAGCCGGCAGATAAAGAAGGGGCTGATACCCTCATGAAAGCTCCCTCCTAAGTAGAGAGTGAAAATGAAAATCCAGCACACCAAACTTACTGTCCATTATTTAATAAGGACCATTTTGGCAGACATACTGGTGTATCTGTTCCTCAAGTTTTAGTATATATTTCCATAATCTCCTATTTTCTCATATGCTTCCCTTAACTATATGAGTTCATACTTTTCATTAACTCCAATGCATAGTCTTGTCAGCCATCGCAAATCTTTTGTAGAACAAGTTGAGATATTAAAAAATAATAATAAGTCCATAGTGATACTTTCCTCCAATGAACTCATAATAGTTCATTTCTATGGTCCTCATTTGGCAATTAATCACATACTAACATTTTACATCTTCAGTATTATCTCATCCTGTACCTAACTTTTTATTACTTTAGTTTTTGTTACTGCCAATTCATTTTAAGCTTTATGAAAGGAAATACCGCATTATATTATTGCATAACTATAACATATCAACTTCCCTTTTTATTTAAAACCTACTATGTGCCAGTCATTGTGATTGACAGCTGGCACCACAGATGAAATGTACAATCTCTTCCCCTCCTCCAACAGAAGCACTGCCTTTAAGGGAACAGATAAGTACGCAAATATTGAAACAGATTATGAGAGAGTTATAGTTTAAGAAATACAGGGCACTGTGGGACAATATTGGAGACATTTAATTAAGAAATTACATGGGAAAGAGATTAGGGAAGGATTCCTGGAGGAGATGACAGCTGAGCTGCTTTAAAAGAAGCTTCACCAGATGTCAGGACAGGCAGAGGAAATAGTTTTTGAAAGGGCACTGAGATGTGATACATTCTGGAAATTTCAAGTAGTTTGTTATGTCTCAAATGTAAAGTAAGAAAGGGATGTGGTAAAAAAAAAAAAAAAGAAGGAGAAGAAGAAAGAGGAGGAGAAGGAGGAGGAGGAAGAAGAAGAAGAAGGAGGAGGAGGAGGAGGAGGAAGAAGAAGGAGGAGGAGGAGGAGGAGGAGGGGGAGGAGGAGGAGGAGGAAGAAAGAAAGAAGGAAGAAGAAAGGAGGAGGAGGCCAGAGAAGTTGAGGGCATCTAGATCATGCAGCATCTTTATGAAATCATCAATAAACTAAAAGACCAATAAAAACCTGAAGCAATGTCAAAATGAAAGAATCTACATTTTCTGTTATCAGGGTTTAGGCACTAATACCAATTTAATGAGAGGACATATGTATTAAGGTGCTTGCTATCCAGAGTCTAATCTATGGCATCACATGGGAGCTTGTTAGAATATTGGCGAGACCCCAAACCTGCTGAATAAAAACCTGCATTTTTAACAAGACCCCCAGATGATTCATAAGCACCTTAATGTTTGGAAAGCACTGGTCAATGTAACAAATGTATGACTGAAACAGTATTTGTTCTGAGATTGTTGTAGAAATAACCAGATAAGGAAGACCATGCCCTGTAGAGGAAGCATTCAGTGCCACTGAGGTAAAGGATATTGAAAATGAAAACAAGAAAAGGGAAAGATTTTAAGTAGGTAAGTGATATGGTAAGAATTTTGTCACATAAAATAGAACATAATGTAACCTATTTTATTTTAGCTGAAGTCTATTGGGCTTTATTTCAATGCAATGAATGTCTAATTGTAGATGTATATCAAACTGGCTGATTTGGAATGCCATCCTTTTCCAAAGCTCCACTGGAATTCAAAATTAAAAGATGAAGTTATGTGAGATTACATAACAATTCATAGGGAACAGACACCAGAGAATTCTATGAGGAGAAAATTCTATGAGTTTTAGTCAACACTCAAAAATCTTCTTACTCCTCAGGTTCTTTCCAAACATTTTCTCCTTAGAAAAAAGTAAATCACTTCTTTCAGTCATAAAAGGAATAGAACTTCATGAAAATACTGATCTTTAACATTTATTTTTAATTCTTTGTGGTTCTAATGTTCTTTAACCAAGAAAAGCTGTTAATCCACTTTCAATAAAGAGAATGTCAGCCACACTCAACACTAGAAATTTATGTTCTTGATAGGAGACAAGGAGACAAGAAGACAAAAACGTATCTGAAACTTGAAGGGGTCTTGTACTTTACTGTCAATACAACGTCTCTTAAAATATATCTTTTTTCAATAAAAACAAAAAGTGGTTAATTTTTAAAATAGCCTACTTTCATAATCTCAGAACAAACACATATAATATGTGTAAATGCCTTTTAAACTTTTGCTGAGATGCACGTGCTTGTGTTGCTCAGTGGATTGAGTGTTGGCCTGCGAACCAAAGGGTCACTAGTTTGATTCCCAGTCAGGGCACATGCCTTGGCTGTGGGTGAGGTCCCCAGTGGGGGGCACATGACAGGCAACCACACACTGATGTTTCTCTCCCTCTCTTTCTCCCCGCCTTTCCTTCTCTCTAAAAATAAGTAAATAAAATCTTTTAAAAATTTGCTGAGATGTGTGTCTGAACTAAGTGATCGTGTGTATATAGATATTAAGCTTGTTCTTATTTCATTTTAACAAGACATATATTTTGAATATGCAAATCTATTCAATCTTTACAGACTAATTCCTTCCAAGTCACAGCATATGTATTCAGGATAGTGCTAAACATCAGAGAAAGATGGAAAAAAGCAGCCTGTTTTCAGTGATCAAACATTGCCCCTGAGGGCTGTAATGAAAGAGCCAGGTGCCTTTGAAGTCACCTTCTCTAATGCTACTTTGCACAATAGAAATGACACATTAATATCCTTTTATGAGCTCATCTCTTATTTGATAATTCATATAAGCAATACTGTGATCACATCAGAAGAGCCAAAACAATTGGTTCAATAGATGTTCTCCCATTTCCTCTACAAAGTTAAAAATATATGGCAGTCAGGGTAGAAGAAACCCATAATTTAGAGTTTTTCTCCCCTTTACTCCAGATTCAACCATTCCCTCAATTTTATACCCCTTTCCTCTACCATAACAGGCCACTTATCTCTTTAGTGCCTCATCAGCCTGTCAATGAAGTTCAACAAATCCTAAAGATTCAGCTCATATTCTTGGTCTCCTTCAAACTTTCCTTGATCCCCACACCTAAGTGAGAATTAATTCTCTCTTCTCTGCATGTATCTCCATTATAGACTCTTTGTGATTATTACCGCAGCCTGCTATTAAGGCATTATATTTGAACCATTGATACTATGTATATTTTAGAACTCATTATGAGTTCCTAGAGGAAGCTCTCTCTTAACTGTATTCATACTTGTCCTCACATACATACTGCTAGTAGCACAGTTTTTGTCACTTAGTAGATTCTTAGTGAATGTTGACTTTTATATTAGCTTTACAATAAAATGACAATAAGTAATTTTGAATATAGTAGTAGTCTTGCTACATCAGCTGTTAAAGCATGGCCAACCGTAAGCTTTAGCATGGGTTATATCTTCATTTGGTATGTTTAATATCAAAGGCACAAGCACATGTGAGAGTAGCTGGCCACCCTGTGAATTACCTGTACAAGGAGCAGTAGGATAGGTAATTCTGCAGTATGAATCTTTGCTTCAGTCTGCCACTTTACAACTAGGTTTGCCATTTTTATATGGCTGGACTTGAAAGGGAAGTGAAATGATGAAATGAAATGATGTGAGATAGGTTTGGAGGAATTAAGA